GTGTGTGTGTGTGTGTGTGTGTGTGTGTGTGTGTGTGTGTACCTGCAGAGCGATGATCCCAAACAGGGCGCCGCAGGCGTGCTGAACAAAGTTCCTGCTGAGGATCAACACGCAGCAGCCTGCAGACACACACGTGTTACATGTTTAATGTGGAACAACTGAGAGCTCTAAATCACCAATAATCAATCAATCAATCAATCAATCAATCAATCAATCAATCAATCAATCAGAGACTGGTACAACAACCCAGGTGCTCGCAGAGATTATTACACACACATACGTATAAATGCACAAGCAGGGGTCCTCTGTCCCTAACTGTCACCAGTGTGCGAGTCCTCGGAGCCCCGCCTCCGTTCGGACCTGCTCGGATCACCACGGTTCTCATTAGATCAGAGTACCTGGTACCAGGTGCTTTAGCTCGGCCGGGGTTCCCAGCGATCTGAGCAGGTACTAGAGTGTGACATCATCAGAATGCATGGCACAGATTGGCTGGTCAGTAGCGTCAGTGTGACGAAAAGCTGCAGATCGAGCAGCAGGTACAGCGTCGCCTCCACGTCCACCTTTGCTGTAGCGTTCGCCTTGCATACTAATTATGCTGCAGGACGCTCAGACGCGTTGCTATGACGACAGCCACGCAGGTTAGGTAGTGCCAGACAGTAATGGAGAACCAGGTTAATGGAAAAGGGCCTCACATGTGTATAACGAGGTGTGAAGCGCCCGTCCCCACAAGCTGTCAGGGTTACAGGTGGGCGTTCAGTGATGTTAGGATGAGCATTTTGTCAATTTGATGTCCTCACTAAGATATGAAAACGTGTGTGTGTGTGTGTGTGTGAGTGTTACCCAGCTGTCCCAGCAGGTTGATGAGGACGAAGAGGTTGGCGATGAAGAGGCCACAGCTCCAGGTGGAGTCGATGTACTCGCTCTGCTCGCTCCACTGCAGCCACATCCTGGTGCCGTCCTCGAGGAAGGTGCTGACCAGGCAGAGGCGGGCCACGTGGGGGAGGTAGTGTTTGGTCACCCGCAGGAACTAAAGCAGCGGGGTGATCAACACACTGTTAGTCACTTTATTAATGTGGCACTGACTGCGTTTTTGTACATGCAGGGCTTAAAATACACCAAAAGCTGCAGTTCCTCTGACATCCAGCAGAGGCAGCAGTGAGTTGGTCCCCACAGACTGCCATGTTCAAACAAGTAAACATGTTTACAGCCGGATACACAAAGTGCTCGTCTCTGTAGCTGTGTCTGAATTCAGGGGAAGGACGCTTCAATGCCATATTTGGAGGCAATGACGTCACGGCGACGCGACGAAGGCTGTCCGAGTTCA